TCTGGAATAAATGTTCCACTCTGTGGCCCATGGCTGGTTTCTTTTCCTACCCTGGTTTCAGCTTGAAAGTCACCCTTTCCAAGCAGAGTTCTCAGAGTACCCCAGGTAAGGTACCTTTCCAATATCCCAGAACCTTCTATCCCATGGCTTTGTATTAATCACTACCATCATTTATTGTCATCTAAGATCCTCTTATTTGTTCACTTGTGTATCATCTGCTTCTAGATTATAAACTCCATCAACTCTATGAACTCTGGCAAGTCAAGGACCTTATCTGTCTTATTACATTTGTCCTACCTAGAAAGTGCCTTAAATATATTAAAAAGAAGAAGCTGGGGCTCCTGAGTGGCTCAGTTGTGTAAGTGTCTGACTCAGTTTCAGCTCAGGTGAAGATCTCATAGTTTGTGGGTTTGAGATCCATGTCAAGTTCCATGCTGAGAGTATAGAGCTTGCTTGGGATTCTCTCTCTCTCTCTCTCAAAATAAATAAACAAACTTAAAAAAAAGAAGAAGAAATAAACATCAAATGACCATTGGAGACATCTCCACTGAGCATTCTCTGAAGTGAAAAATTAAGTAAACTAACACAAAACTCTTTGGCAGCTCTAATCAAGAAACAAGATAAGCCAATCTCCACAGCCAGCACTTCCATGAAGAAGGGAGTGATCCTAAAAGCAAAAGAGATTTTTAGTACTCTTTCTTTGTTTTGGAATTTGAATTCCAACAAGATGGTATTATTTTGATTTAGATTCCTTTTTGCTTGGGAAACTTAAATTAATAGGTATTTTGGCTGCCACAAAGAAGTACTGACTTCTCTTATTTAACAAATCAATGTCCAGCGGGGGGTGGGGGGGTGGGGGGGGCGACTTTGATGTCCAGAAGAGGGACATCTTCCTGAGGCTCTCTGAAATTTGAGATGTCAGAAGTATTTCTCCTCTACAATTGTTGGGAAAAGGAGCACGTTTATTCTCCAGGGGACCTGAAGCATAATGAAATGCAATCTAAGAACATGCAAACTTATTATCTACCAGGATGGTTGAATGGTTCCAATCAAATGGAGGATAGAAATAGGGGCTTTATATTCGGATTTTGGAAAAATGACTCCACAGCTATATTTAGGCGCAACAGTGCCTGCAAATACCTGAAATTGTGGCAGTCTGTGGTTTGTTCATAACATAATGAATATATTTTCTCTTTGAAACTTAGCATGAGGGTTAAGAAAAAAGTGCCCCAAATTATTCCTGCAGATGGAAGAAAGGTATCTTCCTGTCGAAGGTAAGAGAAAGGTTGCTGTTTATCTAAGTGATAGGTTGGTATTGGTTTTAATTGGCTCTTCAAAAGGCTGCCTCTATGCCAAAGACTGCTTTGAGTTGGTGAACCCTGTGACTTAAAAAAGTCAGAATTTTCTTTACTTCTCCCACTCATAAGAATTGCTAAGAAGTGGAGTTTAGCCTCATTAGCAGTAGGAATCCTTTTATGAAAATACTATTTTCCTCATCTCCATGGATAGAAGTCCTAGCACCAGGGAGATGACCTTTTAAAAAATACTAATCTCATGTCAATTGCTATTTAAAACTTATCAACAAGTTTCCATTGCTATTAGTTTAAAAATGAAATTCTGTAATGTGGTCTACAGGACCCTGGTAGAGCTCAGACTGTTCTAAATTGTTCAGCCAATCCTGTGTCCCAGGGATTTTGTACATGCTTCTTTGCCTGAAATTCCTCTTCCTTCACCTTCTTCTGTCTAGGTAATTCTATGTACTCCTCAGTCCCCAAGTGTCAAAACCCGTGGGACATATTCCCGACCTCCCAGACTAGATAAACTCCTTTGTTCAATACTGTCATAATTCCCCAAAGTTTCTTTATCACATTTCGTATCAACTGTTTCCCCTTCTAGATTATTAGGGCAGAGATCAAGTCTGTTTGGCTCACTACTAGTAGGTACTCAATGGCTATATACTGGATAATGAATGAATGATAATGAATGAATGAATGAATGATTACAGCTGAGTTGTGTGTTTCATTCTTGCATAACTTTCTTAAATACTTAATATGCTAGCAATAAAATGAGTTTGTTCTTTTTTTTAATTTTTAATATTTATTAATTTTTGAGAGAGAGAGACAGAAGGTGGGGAAGGGGCAGAGAGAGAGAGGGAGACCCAGAATCTGAAGCAGACTCCAGGCTCCAAGCTGTCATCACAGAATCCGACACGGGCCTTGAACCCACAAACCGTGAGATCATGACCTGAGCCAAAGTCAGTTGCTTAACTGGCTGAGCCACCCAGGTGCCCAAATTTTGTCCTTTTATTATAACTAATAACAAAAAAAGAAAGTCCAGTTTTTGCTTTTCACAGTTTCCTATTGACAATGAGATAGCTCAGTGAAGATAAAGGTGAAGAATGTGGGCTTTGTGATCATACGGCCTAAGTTCAAAGCCTATTTCTACCACTTACTGGTGATCATGGTAAAAGTACTTAAAAATTTCCTGAGTTCCAGCTTCCTCATCTATAAAATAGATCAGACCTAGGTTTGAAGTCTTGATCCATCAATTAGTAATTGCACAAGTTGGTTCAAGTTAATAATCTCCTTAAGCTTCAGACTCTGTAACGATATAATAAGGCCAATAATACCTATCGTTCTCTTCCTAGGCTTATTAGGAAGATAAACACACACACACACACACACACACACATGCACACACATTTGCTTATAAACATATGAATGTTGCTCAATCTGTGTAAGCAAAAAGACAAAAGCAAATTAACACAACAGTGTGATATTATGTTCTACCTATCAGAATACCAAAGATAAAAAAATGGCCAATGCATGTTGTCAGTAACAACGTAGAGAGAGAGATAGGTATTCTCATTTCACTGTTAGTGAAATGTCCTTTAAAGGCACTAAATTTGACCTAGAAATTTCCCTTCCTAGGAATTCATCCTATAGGTACAATCACATATGTTTATAAAAATGGCAATGTACCATTGTGATAGTAAATTACTGAAAACAATAAAAAGTTCATCACTAGGACTAGTTCAAAAGTTATGGAATTGACAAAGTGAAATACTATATGGTCATTAAAGTGTAGAATAATCTCCAAAATATATTATTTGATGAAAAGAGTAATGTAAACAACAATGAAATTATGTTTTTTTAAAAAGATCACTCTATACAAGCATCCAGTGTTTAAATGGGTTAAAAATACTTCTCTAAGAATTTACTGGAAGCTATGGTGACCTCGTGGGGAGAGAAATGAGGGTACTCAGCTTGGGTGAAGTTTATTTTTCATACTGTCTGCACTTCGTTGTTGTTGTCTTTAATTGAGTGGGTATATCCCTCTATCAACTCAAAATTAATGGGAATGAGAGACTCCTACTGTGACTGCTCTTTCTCCTATTATGAGAGGGTACAGTGAGGCTGCCACAGAGAGCCCTGGGCTGCTCCAGCATGAAGGACATAGGACGGCACAGTGGCAAAGTGGTTACCAGGGCAAGACACACTGGTCTACAGGTGCCAATGGAGAGACAGAGAAGGCCAGGAATTCTGGCAAAGAGGCTGATCAAACACCTGGGTGGTGGGTATGAGGGATGGCTGGTGCCTTTTTGGGTATCCTAAGAGGTGAACAGATACCAAACCTAACAACAAGTGTCCTTTAATATGAATTTATTGGAGCCTTATGGCTACCGCAAAAATAAGTATAAGCCCCATTTAATAGATGAACAGAGGTTGCATAGTTTGTTCAAAGTCACATACTAGCCAGTGGCGAAGCCAGTCTTTTCCAAAGGTAAGCCTTAGGTGTGAATATTAGTATCTGTAGTTTTAAGGGATCTTACTACTAGTTTTTTATTCAGTTTTGGACTGCTTGTACTCTTGTTGAAAATAAGCACTTTATTAGAAATGTGGGTGCACTCTGTCCCAATGATTGCATCTGAAGCTGTGTTTGGTGATTTCTAGGAGCCCCTTTATTCTGTTTGTGGTTTCTCTAGTTTCACCTCTGTTTTCTCTGGAGAAAAGACTGCTTGACAGAATCAAGCCTTGCAAGCCCTCCTATTGATCTCCTATGGCCATCAACGTTTTCAGCTAGGAAGGACAGCTCAAGGAAGAAACACACCTCAGCATATCTCCAGGCCGTCCAGATTTGGAACTGCATAAACAATAAACATGGCTTTATCTTAAGGACTATTCTTGCTTTACTGATTAGTACAGTTAGAAAACTACCAAATGCTGTCAGATCTGTCTCTACCTCCAATGAATATATTTTATGTAATCCCCTCGATACTGATAGAGAAGGTAAGGTTTAGCCTAAAGTTAAGGCATAGATAGAACATATTCAACCAAGTACCTCTGGTTTCGGTATAAACTAAGAACTTCTTGAAGGAACTCTCCTCTTCTTAGTAATGCTCTCCATTCTAGAACACTCTGAAGTCTAAGAAATTTGGAAAGGACTTAGCTAGTAATTAATTTAATTTATCCAACCTGAAACCATCAGTTGGCAAATGGATATTTTTCTTCTAAAACTATATTTTCATGAAGGTATTTAAAGGCTTGAGATGTTTTCAATCATTCTACTGCAATATAATGGTTAATTTTAAGAGCTCAGTGAGTCTGATTTGTATTTAAGATTTTTACAATCTATATATAGGTTGGTCTTTAATAACCATTTATACATTGCTTCTTTTTATATAGGTCATGTATTCTCCAGGGAGAGTAACAGGATTAGAAATAACAAATACAGTACAGAATAAATTAAAGTGCTTCAAACTGCATTATATAATTTCAGAAAATTGGTTTCACACTGAAACGTTTAAATAAGAAAATCAAGCAATTTAAGGGGGGAAAAACACATAATATATGCGTTTTAATTGCTATTGTTTAGCAAGTTTTATCCTTGGCCGCATGGTATCTGTTCACAGGGCTCCAGTAATGTGGCAGCTCATTGGGTCAATATGGATAAAATTATTATTTTTTTTCTTATTTAAAAAAAGTTGGCTTCCTTCTCCCTGAAGATGAATAGCATTTATTAGTCAAAATGTCAAAGGAGTATCATAAAAGTAATTGTATTTTTATATATAATTCTCCAAACTCTTGTATACAAAATGTTCTTATTATACTTAGTGCAATAAATTCAGAGGCTGTTATGGGACAGGAGATAGCAAAATGAGGACCAATACTTTCCTAATTACTTAGGATAATAAAAAGCGGGGCTTGGTTTTCCTCTCCCAATGAAAGGAAGGAGATATGCCGCTCTGGAGAGTCTATTATTCCGGCTGGTTCTGTTTGTTTCTGTGAAGTTTAGCATCACTCCCCTTGCACTAAGTCCTCAGGCTTTTTTCAATTTTTCTATTCGTGCATTAAAGGCCTCTTCCTGTATTTGCAGCTTTTCGTTTATCTCGGTCTGTGAAGACAATCATAAAAAAGTGGTTATGATGAAGCTATCTTTTGCTGCACATTGTCTTTGCGGTTTTGACATACTATAGTGCCTAAAGACAGACATTATCCCTCACACACCTTCCTGTTTTGCAGACAGAGCTGTGTTTCGGCCTGTAGTGATGTGATAACACTCTATCATATTTCTCTGCACACTCCCAATGTATAGCGTGGCTGCTATGAACAGGAAGTGGTATTTGGACAGCCATTTTTCACACAGCCTTGTGTTGGAAGATAGGATAATTTATCTGTATTTTCAGACAGACTTTACCAATAAGCACCGAATCAGAAAAACTGCTCTGGGCTCAGTTAGTGCACTGTGGTTGGTACCCCCACCCCTTTGCAATGATGTTTTTGTCTCCTGTGTAATACATTCTAAATGGGATCCTGGAAAGCCTCTGTTGTGGAATAAGAACACAAATCATCTCACAATTAGAACAATTCTCATAATTAAGAATATCCTTTATACATTATAACTCTTGGAATTATGCCACTTTGTGGTACAGTTTTGGTATAAAAAAGTAAAGAGATTGCTGACAGGTTTTAGTGTTTGCTGCAGCTATGATAGCATTTAGCCTCTGGCAGTGATATTCTGTGGGCTGACATTGCTACCTGCACAATTTGAGAAATCTTTTTACATTATCTGAACATTAGTAGTTCCGGAAATGTCTTCCCTTTTTCATGATGTATAATAAAATTAGGTATAGAGAAATCAGTGGTGAGCAATGTGGTGAAACTAGTGTTTTGTTTAGGTGATTTAAAAAAAGTTTACGAGTGTATGAGGAGTAGTTTACATACAGAAGTACTAATAAGCAATTTGAAGTTTAGAATGTTAACATCTGCAACATAATTTAATGTCTTCAGGGTAACTGTATTTTGAGAAAACTTCTATTATTTCAATTTATACAGAATAAACTTAAAAAATCAAATACTGTTTTTGTCCACATATAAATTTTCATTCTTATTTATTTAGAAGTGTAACTATAACAGATAGTTTTGAAATGTGTACCCTGGTTATCTCATCTGATGAGATTTTGTGTCATCTTCACTGGTAAGAATCAATATTTCTGAAAATATCACATTGGTGTCAACAATTCTGGATCCTCATAAATAGCCTTCTTCTTTGGTTCAAGTTTTATCAAACTCTACAAGTTGTATCAAGCTCTGGCCTCTGGTTTCCTATTTTTTTCCTCTTTTGTTTCTTGGTGGTTGGGTGGAGGAGGCAAGGAAAAATGAACACCGTCCTCCAGGTTACAAAGGAACTCTGTCAGTTTTTAGGAATCACTAATCTGCTTGAGAATGATTTTGGTAGGGCTGGAAAGAGCACTGGTCTAGGAGCTGGAGACCGAGACATTAATTTAGTTATGTAACCTTGGACAAGTCACTTAGCTACCTTGAATATTCTTTTTTTTTTTTTAAACTAAGTGGTTTAATAATTAAGTATGTAAATTCATAATCCCAACTCTTGACTTTGTGATATATTCATCAATGTTGTATTTCATTAGTATGACTTTGTGAATTAAAAAAAAGTTCTTTAGAAAGAGTAGTCAAGTGGAACTGGGGGAGAGGGGCATAGGGAAAGAGAGAGAGATTTCTAAGCAGCCTCCATGCTCAGCTTGGAGCCTGATGTGGGGCTCAATCTCACAACCCTGGGATCATGACCTGAGCCAAAATCAAGAGTCTGATGCTCAACCGAATTACTCAGGTGCAGCTTGAGAAATATTTTAAAAATGTATTAGTCCCGCTTCTCTCTGGCATGCAACATATTAGACCGTATAGGTTTGAAGAGATAATCTTGTCTCAATTCCAAAGGATTGGGAAACACTAGTCGAACTAATAAACAGTTAATTCATCTCACTTTCAATTCATGTGTTCTATGTCCATTAATAATTTCATTTCTTTTGATTAAAGACACGTACTATCATTGATCAGCCTCAGTTTCCCTGTGTCACCAGTGTTTTCACATTAATCTGCAGATCTTTCTGGTATTTCGCTGAAACAAAATTCATTGACACAAGTGTGGACTTTTGGGAGAAAGTTCACCTAGGTAAGATATGTGCCCAGCAGCACAGTGCACTGACAGAGGGGAGCTACATTTCACAGCTCTAGACTATGGTGATCAGTACTTCAGTTCAGGCACAACCAGCAGAGCCCAGACGAAAAGACTCTTTGTCTGGTCAAGAATGAAGCTGTCATTAGTCTACTATGTCTCCTTCTTTTTCCTCAGAACACTGCTGAACAGATAAGCTGTCCCACAACCACTAGTGAGGGAGAGTTTCTATTTCTTTTAAGTGAAGAATGGAAAACCCATGACCTGGGCTCAATAGCCTCTCAGTGATTACTACCTTGAGGCGGTGTCCCACTCAGCTTTTCTAACCTGGAAATTCAAGTTGACCTAAAAATACCTAAGGTCCCAAGATGGCAAACTTCCCTCAAGGTTTTCACATTATTTTACACTATTGCTTATACAGGGCCAAGAGCCAACATTTAATGTAAGAATTTGGTGTTAGTATTCGTATTTCTCTGAAACGTAATTCTTTAAATATATTAAAGTTTGCTCCACTGGGTATAATTTTTATTATACAACTCAGGGCCAAAATAATTTCACCTTGAATGTATCTTTAAAATTAAAATACCTAAACTATATAAGCTTAAAATGTTTGCTCTCTTCAGTATAATTTTAATTAACATCTCAGGGCCAAGATAACTTCATTCTTAATAAATCTCTAGAACTATAAAGTGAGTCAATGGGAAAGTAAGTGGATTAACATACAAAATGTAAAGATTCACACTGCATTCTCTGAAATTTCTGAACTATAGAATGTGGAAAATGCCTGAAACCATGCTGGAGAAGGAGCTCTAAAAAAACTGAACTCAAAACATGAATTTTCTAACTGCCTTTCCCCCTAAAAATTATCATAACAGTATGGCTCTTAAATAAAGGAGGGGAAAACATTGGAAAATTTAAAACATCTTACAAATAGTCATTCATTAAATGCTCCCACAGCAAGTATATTCATACCCTGACCATGACAGGGAGCTACCTTTGAACAGGCATGCTGCAGTTTTAAGAGCCAGCGACACTGGAAGGCAGGGTTTAGAAGGGGAGAACAACTTGCTCACCTAAAACAGGGGAAGACATTTAGGTAAGCAGAGAAGTAATTAAACTTGGAATCTGACCAAGGCACAAGTGTAAACACCGAACTAGTGCCACACCATGGTAGTGTTAAAGTATCCAAAGTAGCCTGGTCGTGATATTAGAGGTTATGTGGTTTTCGTGGATAGCACTGGAATTAGAGCTAGAATACAGGTCATAGCTTCCACTCAGGGGCTTTCATCAGTTTCTGACCCTGGAAACACTAGATAAATGATTTAGTCTTCCCGCGTTTATCATTTTTCAACTTATTTATCAGGGAAGGGCAAGGCTAATTCTCATGTACTTTACGAGGATTATTGAGCGAAAATACATAAAGGGGTTTGCTGTCTTGAGCCATTGTATAAATCCACATCATCAAGCCATTTTATTGAAAAATTGGCAGTAATTTGGTTCAGGCTAATGCCTGTGAATCCACTGAAAATGGAAATGGTTGCGGCACCTAAAGGATCCTCACTCCTACCCCTCGTCCAAGTTCTTTCTGTGCCTAATCACATTGAGATGAACCAGCTAATGAACTTCCAGACCTGGCAAGTTTGGCTTTAGGCCAAAGGGACAGTAACACGCACATATAGCAAACATACTGTCTCCATTATAGAGGAGTGATATAAATGCTGCAAACTCTAGCAGTAAAAAAAAAAAAAAAGTCAATGAATAGTTAAAAATATACTGCTCACTCCATGGAACATGGCCTTGGTAAAGATGTTTTCAATTTGGGGGGCCTGCAAACAATTCTATTACTGTCTAGTAGTTCCTCAGCAATAATTTCAGAGCTGCGGGACGGCAAAGGAGCCCAGGGCCATGATTATACATAAACTATATTTAGACGAAACGTTATCAAATCTATAAAGGAGATATGTTCTGAACTCAGTTTATTTCAACTGCACTCTGCCCTTCTACACAGTAACCAGTTATTACATTCATGGGGTTGTTAACAATAACGCTTTGTGTGAAACGTGTTCTACCACTATTTCTGGTAAACACTAAACACCCTTTATTAAGCTGAGGACTTTGGCTGATTCTGTTCATATCAAATCATTAAATGTTCACATAAATAGTGCATTAGCATTTGATGATTAATAAGTAACAAGGTATGCTTTTGCCAAGCTAATCTTTCACTCTTTCTAAATTAGCTGTTAATACAGTGTGCTTTTTTAAAATATATAGTCTCATGTTCAGATAACAATTAAATCTTTCCCAGAGATGCATTAATATTTGAAACATGTAGTACATTGTTCTATTGATTCATGGTCATTTCTGTAAGAAATTACAAATCCTCTTCAAATATGCAATTCACTTACTTAATCATTTTGCCTGGAAAATGATGCAAGTCTTTGTGTTGAGGTAGCAGTGGTTTTTGTCTTGTTTTGCTTTGTTTTGTTGGACAGGAAAAAAGAGTCCACGCATAGAGCTGACCTGACGATCCATCACTGGCAGGCACTACCGGAATGGTTGTTCCATCCCTATTTCCATGCAGCCTTTGGTGTAAATTGCTCGGCTTAATAGCGATATGTAAAATGGAACAAACTATCTGAGAGGGAGTTCAAAGATCTGAAAGCCTCTCATTAGAACTCTGGTGAGAAGACTTATTGAAGAAACAGTGCTTACTGTTAGCAATGGACTCCCTTTACTCTTGCAGGAGCAATGTTTACAGAATAACAGGCATGAAGCCTTTACCATGTTATTTTTCCTGTTTCAGTGCCAGATGATTTTGTAAATTGGCAACACACACCACTCTAGGTGCTGTTAGTGAATCTATTTCGTGATCTTCTGGAGTCTCTGGTGACTCAACTGAGAATTGTGTGGAGATGTTGAATTGAGGTTCTCCATCATAAGCATCACTCTTGTTAACAGGGTGTGGATAATATTTACAGACCTAAGGTTGAAGTTGCCTAGTTAACCAATAATAATAAAGTAAGTGAGCACACTATCAAGGCTGAGTACCTGAATGCCGATTAAAATATCATCTGTGACTTGACCCAGCACTGATCTTATATCTTCAATGGTGAAACCCAATAAAGGATCCACATCGGAAATGTTGGCTTCTGACTGGGATTCCTTAGGGACTTGGTCTTGATCCAATCCCTGCAATATCAAAAGAGAACAACTCTCAAGTGGCTTCAGGAGCATTCAGTGATCTATATGTAACCTCAACTTCTCTTGGGTACTTTTCTACATGAAATGATGCTGGTCTGGAAGGAAATTTTAATTTGCTGTTATCCTGCATTTTCGTTACTCATGAGCATTTTGCCAGATCAAGTTACGGTGCCAATCAGTGTTTACTCTTAGGGAAGTGGAGGTGGAGACTGGGGAGGCTGGAGAAGGAGAGATTAAAATTGCTAAACCATCCTCAGCTGGCCCATCTGTGAAGCAACCCTAAAAGAAATATTTATATTGAGCTAGGAAAAATCGGGGGGAAAGAAAATGGAAGAGCATTTGCTTTCTTTGCTCCTGCCCTTAGTGAATATAACACTGAGATAAGGTGAATTGAGAGACAAAAGAAAACATACCTTCACTCCTGAATCCAATGTTGGGGGTGGCTCTATGAATGTTGAATAAACATCAAGTGAGATTCCTTCTTCTAGAGGATCTGGGAAGAGACCACCTGAAGGCTTGACAACCTCTATCATTTGCTGGAGGGGAAGAAAAGAACTATATCATGACAAAGCCTTTGGTGAGAAAACACAATTTTGGCCAATCTATTCATTTCTCTCTATATACTAAAATGAATATTTAATATATAAATACGTAGCATATTATATAATATATGCTAGTATATTAAAATTATATGCTAATTAACACATAATTATATACAATTAATATGACTATATAATATATAATATTTATACAGGTGCACATATATATAGTTCCAATTTTATTATATTTTAAGTGCCATCTCCTCTGAATTCTTGATACCACTGCGCTATTAGTTCTTTATTGCTTTTTGGTCTCTGTATCTGATAATTAGCATTTTACTCTTTCCACTCTCTTTTTCTATTTCCATACTATGTGGCTTAGAACTTTATTTTATACTGTCTTGATCTTTGTTTCATGTGTCCTTCCTGCTGCCTACAAGCTCTTTGTAGGAGACCGTGTTTTAGATCCTCTGCATACCTTATCCAGTTCTGGCAGAGGTTGGGTGCTTGAAGCACGCAACAACAGCCTGATGGTGATTGACGTTACTCAGCAGAGTGAGGGTGTTTTTGGAGGCTGTAACAAAGTGGCCACCAAGAACGTCATGATCAGGACAATAAAGGCTCTAAAGGTTAATGTATAAAAGCTAGTACACTGTAAATCAGAGAGGAGATTTGCGATACCAACCAAAAACACAGGGGGCAAGGCAAGACTTCGCTGTGAACATTGAATAATTCTGTAGCAAGTGCACAAATTCCAGAGAGGGTGATGGTTGGTCAACAGCAGAAACGAAGAAATAGGAGTAAAAGAAGTCAACTTAAGCAGTGTCCATTCCACCCTGACTTGGAGGTTAGAAAGAGATGAGGCACTGATGGTGTCAAACACCTGAACCATTTAATTAAACACAGAACCTTTTATTCTGACTCCATGTTTAACAAGTAACGTTTTGATCATAATTTGACTTCCCATCTCAATTGATCTCTAAAGACTCGGTTGAGTGCTTTGATTTTCATGCCTATTACATTCCTCACTGTATATCAGTACATTGATGTTCTAGTTTATATAGTAAGCTCTCAAGACCTCGTTTTTGAGGCCCTGAGGTGAAGCCATCCACTGTACACTGACAAAGTCAACCCTGAGCATAAAAGTTTGAAGACAAAACTCTATAATTGTAGAATATCACCAATTACCATCCTATGGGACCTGAAAAATCTCAAGTTATCATACATTCATTTCTGATTTCTCTGCAATAGTTCACATTAACTTACATGTTAAACATGTAATAATGTAATAATGTATAACTTACATGTTATAATATTTTATCATTTGAATATTAATAATATTATTTATTAAGATAGGTTTTGGAATGTCTCAGTAGCTAAGCTATTATTTAGCTATACCATATATGTTTTGCATAATTGTTAATTTTAATTCAGTTTTATAGGAAGTTGCTGCTTAGTGTAGATATATAGAAGGACTGGAGTGTTAAAACTTTATAGTCAAGGTAATTTAGAAACCAAGCAGTTAAATGTTTGGTTTAAGGTCAACTCATTGCTTAGTGACAGGACTGGGAGTTAAACCCTGCTGTGCCAACTTCTTGGCCTGTGTGGTTTTCAGTATGCATGGCATCATGTTACCACACTTGGAAATTATTGATATCATTAATCACTTAATCTCTTCTGTTAGGTGACATCTTACATTGTTGTTCACCAGATTGTTCATCTTAAGTTGACTAAAGGTTAATAGAAATAGAATATTTAAAAAATCAGAGCAATTATTTTCTCTCATCATGTTTATAAGTCATTTTTTCCCTAAAATGGGACATACAAACATTTTCGTCTTCCTATAAAATTATTTGTATCTTTTTTCATCATGCTTGTTTTTCATCCTCTCAAACCTTACATTGCTCTTTATTTTCCCCAGCTAGGAAAATGAAACAGCTAAATATATTTTCGTGTCCTTTGCAACATTACAGGTAAAATCAATAAGCTGCCCATCGGAATCCAGAGACAAGGGCAGATGATGAGGTATTTATTTAGTGGTATAGACTTTAACAGAGGGTGAGGAATAGGAATTTGGGGGAAGTGGCGGTGAGACAGACATTGGAAAGAGGAGAGCAAGGAACTGAATGGGGTTTCCTGAATTTACTGTAAGCACTGAGAAAGAAAGCATGAGGTAATCTGCAGGGTAAAACATTTTTTTTAATAAAGCAGAATTTTATTTTGTTGCTCTCGCTAAATTTGTCTTGCAGCTCTGCTTTTCTACACACAAGCTAGGACTTTCTGCTAATTTTCTCTCACCTCTTAGTGAAGTTCACTCCTGTATCCTGGTGGTAGCTCTCTCCCCGCCTCCTTGTGCCCTTCCTTCCATCAGATCACACAAGTAAACGCAAGCAGGTTTTTGTGTTCAGTTTTCTCACTCCATCCCTCATATCCCTGTGGTCTGCACTTCTTTATAAAGCTCATCTGAACTACTTGCCAACTACCCAGTTTTCCTTGTCTTTGGCACTGGTTGTGTGAGTGTGTATGTTTGTGTGTGTGTGTGTATGTGTGTGTGTGTGTGTGTGTACTGGGCACACGTTTGGGAACTTGGATCATTCCCAGCTCTACATTATTATTTTTTTTGGTGGAGTGAAGCTCTTATTTATCTTAAGAACCTCATTTGCTTGATTTTTATGAATATAGCTCATACAGGAATTCATTTGATTTAATTCCTGCACAAAAACTAGGGGTGAGAATTTCTGTTCTTCAGACTGTCTTGCACACCATCAATGAATCAAATCATAGCTACAGTTTTCTCTTTCACAAAGAGTTACATTTGACTATGTTAGTTAGACACTATAAAGGAAAGAAATGTCCGGTTTCAGATGGGAGTAAATATAAAGTCATTGCATTAATAATAAGAAATCATATTGTCATATATATATATAGTTTGAAATAAACATAGTGCCAGAAGCATCATAGTGATTTTTCCCCCCATTAAGTAGTTTTTTTCAAAAACAAGTTTAAGGAAAATTACAATCAATAATTGTGGTGAGAGCACAGAGCCAGCAAATATGTTTAAATGAAACCGTCTGATGCAATACTTTCTTAAAAAAATACAATTAGGCCTTTGTATTTTTTTTTAACAAAACCTCATGTTTTACAACATCACTGGTTCTGTAATAAAATCTATTTAAAACAGAAAGACATGGTCAGCTTTATTAAGTTAGGTTTTCTGAAAGAACGTTATAATTTCCTCAAGTCTATGAATAGTTGAAGCAAATTAAATAAAGCTAGTTTTATAACTATTTTTATAAATTCCTGAAGCATTGTAATTGTCTCATATTTTTTTCCTCAAAAGCCTAATATGTTACCTCTTAAACCTCGAAAAATAAAAACAGAAAAAGGATCAAGTGTGTTTATTAAAAGAAAACACTCCTATTTGGTACCCTGATTTAGCGACACCCTTTCTTCTTCTACAAGAGAATAGCACCCATAATCTTCAGATCAAGAAACAAAGGAAAAAGACTTTAAGTGACTTGCCTGAGGCCTAATGCTGAGATTAAAAATCAGGAGTTTCTGATTATACACATACATCCATTTGGCCAAATGATTGGTTTTGCTTGACTTTCAAATACCCCCTAAATATTACTTTGAATGTAAAGCAATAAATGTGTTTCTCTTGCCATTTTTGAATGCTTGCACACAAATGGATATAATAAAAACAATCATGTTGTTCCATGTGAATGCCATTTATATTTTTTCTGATAATGAGCAGACCATTTGAACCAAGGTGAGTACATTAAAAGCTCTAATAAAGAAGAGAATAGATTTCTAAACAGAATAATGGACTGTTAAGTGAACATACAATAAATAACATCTACAGATGTGGTCCCTAGAAAATTAGTTTTGCATAACTTACCACTATACATTTCCCCCAGATGTTATCTGTTACATGAAAATTAACTTAAGTTAGTTATATTGTTCATTACGTGCACACTGCATTAGCGTTATTTAAGATGGTTTACAATCTGAGCTTTAGTGGAATTGTGCTATGGTATTTAAAGAATATCAAGTAAATGGTTTTTTGGCATAATTTAATACTCGTAAGTACAAAATTTCATCACTGAACATTATGTAGGTTTTAAAAAATCCAAGATCTTTACTTTACAAGCCAAATGCAATCACTAGAATACTTTTAAGACTTTACATATTCAGAATGAAATACACTTCTATCATGGGAATAAATGATAGGAATTTTGAACCTTCCTGGAACTAAGTACAGGGTCAGTTTAGGTTTACAAAATGCTGATAGGAATTAGAATCTGCTTCAAATCTTTACTGTGTCTAAGAAAAAGTATGCAAATTTTATCTGAAAATTGTATTACTTCCTGCTTTCTCTTACTTCTTTATGTGTTAACATTATTGATAGTATCAACTCTGGTTTATTGTTTTTGTTATTTATTTGTTTTTGTTATTGTTTTGTTTTTATTGTTTTTATTGTTACTTATTTTACTTTTTTATTATTTTCCATTGACAAGAAAGGGGTAGATGATTTGTGAGTAGTCTATACTGATGAAATCTATGATCAAGGTGGCATCTATTAAATTATTACATCAATTACTAAATTATTCAAAATATTAAGAAATGCCATTGAAATGACAACTTTCCATTGTTTTGAATGGCAGGAAGCACGATAAATCTGTTAAGCCTTTTCTGAGCGATAGAAATACATACAAAAAACTGGTATGCTTTAAAGGACATTTGTTTCAAATTGTCAGATGATGACTTCATATGTAAATCAAAACTTACTACAAAATGTCAAAGTTTCAGAAAGCAAACTTTATTGCAAACATTTCCCAATACTAACTAAGGAGAAAATGCACAAAAATGCCTGTAAAGTTTTAACTATTTTCTCCCCTTGAAAAAAGGCATTACTAATTTGCAAGTCTAATGAAGCAGTACATGTGTGGTTCTGGAAATTTTTAACAAAAACCGTAACCCATTGCCCACAATAT